CCGATTGTAGCGGTACTCTCGRAAAAACGGCAAAAGATATATTTTTGGTAGACCGTCTACTAAACTGTATTATTTCTATCGAAAACCATAAAAATGATTCTAAAATACCTCAATGCCAAAATTGTCAAAGATTCCAGCATACCAAAAACTTCTGTAAGCTTCCACCCAGATGCGTAAAATGTTCGGGAGATTATCACTATTCCACCTGTACAAAAGAMTWATCTACCCCCCTACCTGTGTAAATTGTCTAGCGAATCACCCAGCCAATTACCGAAGCTATACAGCTAACTTTAAAAAAATAAATCTCGTCAAACAAAATCAAAAAACTCCACTACCCATAAACAGTCTGATACTGAAGTTAATATATATAGCAACAATCACCCATCCACGTCACGAATTGTTACATCTAATCTCCTCTCTAAGAATAGCACAAACCCACCTGTCTTCAGTAATAACAACAAACAGTCCTATGCTGAGATAACAAAAACAAATACCTACGAACACCAGCAACCACTTCCCTTCCAACCAAATATCCAAAGCGAGCTTCTGCAGTTAGTTACTAATGCCTACCATAAATTCTCTATTACAAGAAATTATAAAAAAAGTCATCGAATATATTCCAACGTTATTAAGTCAAGTAAATGGCAGTAAACTTCAATAATATTCATAATGCAAATTTAGTTATCATAAATTGGAATGCAAATGGACTTAAACAAAATATAAATAYTTTTGCTGCATTTTTGAACACCCACAATGTAGATATAGCCTGTATCAGCGAAACGCATTTAATTAATGCAGATAAAATAAAATTTAATGGCTATGTCACTTATCGCAAAGACAGATTAGCAGTTCGACCTTCAGGCGGCGTAGCTATTATAATTAAATCTAAAATAAAACACCATCACACTTTTATACCTGTTCTACAATCACTGGAAGCATTGTCAATTACTATATCTATCAACAATGTAATTACAACTCTAAGTAGCGCATATCAATCACCAAGTTTTAAAATGTACACAAATGATTTCGAAAAAATGCCTTGCAGTTTTCAAAAAGTAATGATTATTGGTGACCTGAACTCCAAACATACTACTTGGAACTACCAAACGACAAACCAAAATGGTCATAAACTACATAAATACCTTTCAAATACTTCAACAATTATCTCTTCATCCGACTCCCCCACTTATTATCCATATGACCAAAATAGAAATCCGGACATACTAGACGTAATTTTATTATAATCAATACCTCTATCAATTCATCAAGAGCATCTATTTGAACTTGACTCAGACCACCTGCCCGTAAAAATTACAATAGGGGGCGCCATAAGTGTATCTACAAAATCGCGTAAACTTATAAACGGCAAACCAAACTGGGAAAAATTTAAAACCTATATAACTCATAATATAAAAATCCCGAAAAACATAATAACACTACAGCAGCTGACGCCAYAAACCATTTCCAGAAAATTATCCATCTAGCAGCGGAACACTGTTCAAAACCGTCTTGTAACATATCYCAAAATTATACATTTTCTCAAATAATACCAACTTCTATTCTAAAATTGATAAAAATAAAACACCAAACCATGAGACTGTGGCAGCTCCATAGGCGAACTGTAGACCGAAAAAATCTTAATTATCTCACTAAAAAAGTCAAAATTTTACTGGAAGAAAATAGAATAACTTCATAACAAAATTTCTTATCTACAATTCATCCTTCGGATTCAAC